TATTCAACTTTTTCGGACTAACAAACGACCTCATGATGGAAAAGATTTTTAGAGCAATGTCTCGAGGAAATATTTTAACATATGATGACTGGATTTACGGCATGAATATTTTCCTCAGGGGAAGTTTTCTCCAGATGGCAAATTTTGCATTTACGGTTTATGACCAGCAGAAGCGAGGCTATTTGACCAAGGAAGACATTCAATTCTATCTTAAAGATGTTCTGGTTGTTAGAATTACAGAAGAAGATGCAGATGAACTGTATACAGACATGGTGGACATGGTATTAGGCCTAATGGATAAAGATAGGGATGGCGTAATAAGTAGAAAAGATTTTGTTCAGAGCGTCATGGCTGAACCTCTTCTGATCGAAGCACTGGGTGAATGCCTTCCCAACAGTAAAAGTGTTCTGACAATTGAATCTCTTATCAGACAAGGAAAAGAAAGAGTTCATATCTCCTATCAACCAAAGAAAGAAGCTGATCTATAAGAGTGAAATTAATCAAAGATACAATAAAAAAACAAATGGTTTTCAATATTTTCCATAGTCCGACTCAATGTTTCAAAAATTTTCCATTTAAATACGAAATTTTAGAGCGAATTTGTCTAAACGTGGAAATTTACCTCTATTTCTTTACAGAATATCAGCTCAATATCAAGTTTAACTCAGTTGGAAACTAGTATCTAATCTGTTTTTTAATGAATCTTGAATAAATATTTGGTTTATCACGACTCAATTATTTTGTCTATTTTGATAAATATTCTGTATTTGCATAAACCTTATTTAACATAATCTAATGGTATGTCTCAAATTGCGCATAAATTGAGGGGAAAACTTAGACATATTAAAAACTCGCATCCTTATATAATCCTTCTCTCATATTATGAAAAAAATAATCCATATTTCTTAGTACAAATCTATTTAATATGGATAGATAAATATAAGTTAGTTTTAAGATATAGCTAAAATATTGAATCTATTTCTGTTTGCTTCTTAATGCAAGGTTAGGCCTAT